CCTTCCACGCGTCCTTCAGCAGGTGGATGGGTGAGTGGACGCTGGTACGGCCATGCCGCGGGGTACCACTCAGTGATACAAAGGAATGGTCGGATGCAGGAAACCACCTGGCTGGGCACGAAGGGCAGTGTGCTTACTGAAAAGTCAATACTGACCTGAAAAGGTTGCATCCTCTAAGATTCCATTCAGATTCCATTTTTGCAACGAGAGAACCACAGAGAAGGAGCACAGATGGGGGGGAGGGGAAGGGGCAGAAGGGTGCTACCAGGATGATCTTTCCCACCTGCGGGGGAATTCTGCATCTGGTTTCCTAGTGCTTACACGAATCTATGTATGGGGTTAAACTGTATAGAACCCCACACACATGAATTTGGGTTTAAAAAAAAAAGTCAAAAACCGACCGAGTAAGGGCTGTAGCGGAGTTGTCAGGTACCACCATTAATTCCTCGGTTTTAATGTATTTCAGCCGCAGAAGATGCCACCATTGGAGGTGCATACGTGAGATTCTTTGTCCTGTTTTTGCAACGTCCCACAAGCCCAAAAGAAAAAGCATATGTGGGAAAAATAAAGTAAGTGTAGAGCTGCTACTGAACTCTAAGAGCAGGAGGCAGGGTATTCCAGAAAGACCACCTTTCGGCAGGGGAGGGGATTTAGATACCGCCACATGGCCAACTAAAACTGGCTAAACAAAGGCTAAAAACTGAACGCATTAAAAAGAGAGACTGTCTGCGTTGGTCTCACTCCGTCTCGGAGCTCTCACTGATGGTTGTCATTTCTGAGCACATTTTCCCATGAGCAAGAGAGGCACTGCAGCACACAATGCCACTGGACCATCAGCCTTGCTGGCTCTAGCAGCGGGGTAGTTAAAAGCATATACAATTCCTATCGCCCCGCCCCCCGCAAGAGTGCCCCTTAACAGGACAAAAATGCAGTGTGTGAGACACATGCACACACACACGGCCCCCCCAGAAGAACCGAGAAAACCCAGACAGCACTCAAGGAGAAGTCCTGAGTAAAACATGGAGGACAACCTGTAGGTGGGGCCTGTAGTTTTGCCATGCACCACCTTGTGGTTTTTTTCATCTACAAACTCATGGTAGGCCTTCCGCGGCCATACTGACACCGGCTCCTTCGCTTCCCTCCTCGGCCTCAGGCCACCCAGTCAATGTGCAGTGCAAGCGACCAGCGGTAACCATCTTTGTGGCCATCCAGCCACTCATAGCCAATAACCCAGCACGTGAACACCCGCGAAGACGTTGGGCCAACTCGGTACCACAAATGTTCGCTTGGCGTTTTGAGGTGACGCCATTTCCTGGCGCACAGTGAAAATCGAGGAAGGGAAAGGATTCATGCCAGAGTGCAAGTGGGTAGAGAAAGCGAAGGGAAAACCCACCGAGACGTTCAGTTCTGTTCAGTTGACCCGAGTGTACTCGGGAAAACCTTTACCGATGGATAATTTCTGAAGACAAAGGAAAAGCGTAGACACCACTAAGCAGGTCAATGAAAGAAACTGTTGACTGTCAGTCATCGAAACACAACGGTGTAATATTCTGAGTGTTTCTGTTGCCGCCGGAATGTGACGGGACACATTTTTAGGGCTCTGTCAATACCATTAATATTTATGACCAATCTCACGGACACATCCATCAACGACTTCTGCTCGGGAATTGTTTTCACTGGCTGATGAGCCCTGAATGGCAAAATGGAGAGTCATTACATGAAGACTTTTATTTGCTTCTGTTTTACACACACCCTTAAAGGTGGTAAAATAGTAGAGAGGCTGCACTCCGAGAACGTAATTTTCTTTTTGAAAAGGAAAAGTCACCTTTATTTGTACCAGGTGAACTAGATTATTTATCTCAAAGCGGTGCCTAAACGTGCAGGTGTTCATGAGCACAGACCGACCCCAACCTGCTCTGAAATCCCACCTCCATCTCCTTTAATTCTGGGATTCTGCTTAAAGTCTGCACCCGGCTTCCCGCCCGGCTTCCCGGGTACTGGTGTGCTGGAGGAGAAAGCCCTTCCCGGCACCAGGGAACACGGGCTAAGATCCTCCCTTTCTGCCCTGCTCCTGGAGCCCCATGGTCTAGGAGGCATTCTTGGACCAGAGGAACTTCAGTTTCTTTCTCTGTAGAGAGAAATCTGCATTCCCTACAATGATCTGGGTTCCTTGGAGGATCAACGGTGAGACAACAACATTGCCCAGTGCTTATCCCATGACGTGCGCCCGGTAAAGGTTAACAGCTCCTTCTCCCCTGCGCACCAGCGTGCTCCAAGGGGACACACTTGAGAGCCACGGTGAGAGCAGAAATACTTCATAACGGGGGGCTGTGGTCACGGACCAGTAGGATTAGATGCAGCTGGTAAATGATCGTGCCCTCCGCCCCCTGGGGGGAGCCGGCAGGACATATGACAAGGCACCATTTTTTTTTTTTTTTTGCATAGGTTAGTGCAGAGCCCAGGACACCTTTTCCTAAGCGGCTTCACTTTACCAACCGCACTTTTGAGGGGCCGGAGCTTCTCCCGGCCCTGAGGAGGGCCCCAGGGCGGAGATTCCCGGGGCGCCCACTAGATGGCGCGCGCAGACCAGCTTGTGGCCACCCCTGCCCCGCGCTCCCCTCCCTCGGAAGGTCCCTGTGCACCTGCCTTCTCAAGCCCTTCACTCCCCGGGGAGCCCCGGTTTCCCCAAGTGTGAGGAACGAAGGTGCCCTGCGGTGTCAGCCCCACCCTGCGCTCCGCGCCGCACCTGTCACAGCCTGGAAAGTCGTAGCCTTTTTCCACCAGCACTGCCGCGGCCCTGCCGCTGGATGGACACCCATGGGCGGCTTTTTTTCTGGAAAGGCCTCGTTGTTTTTATGGGAAACGATGCACGCTCATGCTAAACTTCTGAACCACCTAAGGAAAAGTCAGAACCGCGGCACCCCCAGCGGGGCCATGGGTGAGATTATAGGTCCGTTACTGGACACAGCCACGTGCACGCTCATGCTCAGACGGGGGTCGTGCACGGGGAAGTGGACAGCAGGGACGCCCTACTTTACAGCAAGGAGGTCGAACTGTGCTGCCAGCTTGTTAAGCGCCACATTCCCCTTTTTACTTGTATTTAACAGAAGACAAAGAATCTGACGCGGAATTTCTGAGCTTCGAAAACCAATCGCTGCAAGAGATGCTGATCACAAAACACTGTGACGGGGGGAGCTTCAGGGAAACAAGTCAGGACCCGAGCCCTCTTCCTTCTCTTCTTACTCTCACCGCAGGCTCCCCCGAACCTTGTTTCCACGCTTCGAGAGGCCAGCTTTTGGTTCCCACGCAGCAGGTTTTCTTCTCATTTTAGGTCTTTATGTATGTATTTGTGCAAAAATACTGTTTTCCGATTTATCGGGGTGTGAGGACACACAGAGCTGTGGATAAACTAGTTGACATCACCTCACGTAGGTCCCGTTTCACAGGTGCGTGTGGTGGGAACACTTCAGGTCTGTTCTCTAAGCCGCTTTCCGGGGTGCGGCACAGTGTTGCTGACTGTCCTGGCCACGCTGTCCGTTAGAGCCCCAGGACGTATCCGTCTTATTCATAACTGCAGCTTCGTACCCTTGACCAGCATCTCCCATTGCCCCCAGCCTCCAGCCCCCAGCGACCGCCGTGTACTCTCTGCTTTTGTGCGTTCGACTGATTTCGGTTCTGCATGTGAATGAGAGCACGCGGCGCTTGTCCTTCTGTGTCTGGCTTATTTCACTGAGCGGACGCCCTCCAGGTCCTTCCACGCTGTCAAAGGGGGCAGGGTTTCCTTTCCTTAGGGATGAACAACTTCCGTGGACATGTTGTTCCCATATGTCCCATCTTTTATCCCCTCATACATCTGCCTTTAGGTTGTCTCCCCACCTGTGAGCAATGCTGCCGTGAACACGCGTGTGCAGGTGCCGCCCGAGAGACCACAGCGTCCGAGCTCCGCAATAGGGCGGCCCTTGGTTGCATGTGGTCATTTAAACGAAAACTGATCTAACGTTAAGTCCCATTAAATTTGGCCCGTCATTCTTTCCACACACCTGACCGAGGGCCTGTGTGCCAGGCTCCAGGGTGGGAGCCGGGACGCATGAGGGAACCTCATTTCTTGGCATTGGTGAGGGCAGCAGGGGCATTCCACCCAGAGACAGAAGTCTCCTGCCTTTTGGGGGGAGGTTTCTTTGGTGGCGGAGGAAGTATTCTGTCCCACAATTAGAGACCAGACGAAACCACTCACATCCTTGAGTGGAGTAGTCGTGCCTTCATTTCTTTATCGAGACCCAGCTGAAGAAGCTGCTGGTTCTTTCCTGAGAGAAGGAGTTGGGCCTTTAGAAAAGACCCAGGGAGGGGGCGCCGTGGGCCTGGGGGTGGGGTGGGATCTGCCACCCTGGAAAATGTCACCTTGGCTGGTGACAGTCAGGTATTCCCACCCTCCCTGCAGGGGAGCCCGGAGGTGGGGGAAGTAGCACTAGGAGTCGTGGGCAGCAAGAAACAGGGTGGGAGATGGTGCCGGTTGGCCTTGCTGTGCTTTGCTTCCTTTTAAAGATTTGAGATGACAATTGAAAACCAGGGGGAATATTTTATCTTAAAATGTAGGGCGTGTCGCGAACGCATGGGACGTTGAGCAATCCTGGGCTGGGACTCTCCCAGGCAGACAGTGGAGCAGAGCCCAGTGGTGCCCCCTTCAGGTGGGAATGAGCCCAGGGTACGGGCCTCCATCACTCACTTTTCTCCTACCCCATCCTTTGCTCATCCCGGTCCAAGGCTGGTTCCTGGAGAAATTTGACCCTATTCTGTGGTGTCCACAGCACCACTGTGGGCACCAGGGGAGTTTTTTAAACAGGGTGTGGGGTCCTGTTCCCAGGAGGCTTGTGATCAGACAGACGGCAAAAACACGCCCCCCCTCCCCCAGCCAGCACCCCCTGGCCAGCCTGCTTGGTTCCCTTGGCCCCCTTTGCACCTGGGAAACGCGGCTCAACGGCGTCCTGCTTGGAGATGAGTACTTGGCATCGACAGCTGGAGCTCAGCTGTGCCCTCTAAGCCCGTGTGGAGCAGCAGACAGTGCATGGGGCCAGGGAACACCAGGCAGGCCATCGAGCCCTTCCAGTGCAATCTCCTGGATGGAGACGGACTTTTGCCTGTCCCCGCAGTTTAGCATGGGGCAGGCCAGCTACATTCTGCCAGAATCTCCCGAGGAAGATTGTGACCTCCGGCCAGAGTTTCTACGATGCCTGCTATGTCTCCTTCTCCTCCTACAACCACGCCCACCATCCTCCAGGGGAAAGCATGGACAGAACATATGCTTTTCAGAACCAAAGCTATCGGAGAACCATTCGGCCCTAAATTAAACAGTTCATGTTTTTAACCCCTTAGCCCAGCTCTCTAGATCCCAAAAGGGGCTGCCCTGAGTGCCGTGAAGGAAGGCTAAGGAAGGAAAGATGCCTCATCTGCCTCCACGTTGCTGGGCGGACGGTACCAACATGAACTTAACATTCCGCGTGGAAATAAGGAACCTGCGGATACTGATGTCAGGGCTCGCGTCCATCGATATGTAATCGTAAGGGACACGTTGTCTGTCGTTAGGAAGCTTAAGAAGAGCCCATGATCATGATATTTTTTGGTGTTCTTTGAGCATTGTTTCTTTCATTTTTCCTTCTTTTATGTCATTTTCAAAAGAAGTGTTTACATTTTTTTTAAAGCCATAAGGACACATATTAAAATTATTCTGTAAAAGCGAAACAAACCAACTCATCACGCACCAGGCTTTCCTAAGTCTTCCTAAGACTCCAGGAGGCAGAAGGATGACCTGAGCCAGGCCTGCCAGGTGCCATTTCTACTGCTCCGGACGGCCTTCCCAAGGACCTCGAGGGACTTAGTGTTGCCCTAGGGTCCTCCAAGCCATCTGGGGTGACAACAGCTTCTGTGTTGGCTCCAGGAATGGGTGACTGTGAGCTGGGGCGAGACTCTGGACACCCCTGAAATGGACCCCATCTGCCAAATGGGGATGGCGATGCTCCCCAGAGGCAGCTTGGCCCCAGACTCCACAACTGCTACCCCGATTGTATGGTTCCCTCTCTGTCTACACCTGCCCCTCCACCCTGCATCACTCACTTACCCTCCTGCCTCTTGTCGACACTGGGCTGTGTGTCCCTGTCTCAATGCAGCACGTATCGATAGCACAGAGTTCGCAGACGATACTTGATTTGGATGGCAACACAGGAGATCATCCAGTCAAACTCCACCCCCGAGGGAAACTGAGGCATGGGGGGGGGGCACGTTTTCCAGGTCATATTTTTGCTCTCCGGATTCAGAGACAATGCGTCGAGGACACCTGGCCAGGTAGAGGCTGCGCTGGTCAGAACCCCACCTCTCTTGAGTCCCAGCTCTCTCCTGTGATGAGGAACAACTTGACCCCACTATGAAGATGACCATGGTCTCCATTAGGTGTCCACCACTGCTTTCAGGGACGTGGCTCCTGGATGTCACCACACCCCCAGGGGGCCACACAGACCTTCAGTAGCATCAGACCAGCAAGTGCCTCTCGAGTAATGATCCACCCAACAGTCATTTGGAAAGAGGCCGTCTGCGTTGCTCCAGACGCCCTTTCTTCCTTGGCCAATTAACAAAGTGTTGCATTCCCAGTCTGCCAGATTACGTGGTGATTCCAGTGCGAGCTCCAGTTCAAAGGGCATCATTTGTAACTCCGAGAACAAGCCTCCAATACAGTGGGATTCCTGTTAATCACCGCTTCCAGCAACATGGGGTTTTGGAAATCTAATTCGTAAAGGGTCCGCTGAGCTAAGCTTTTGGTAACTTTAGGGTTCAGAAGGTTCCTCCAGCTCCATTCTTTGTGTTGGCAGACAGACCCTTCCCTGCCTCAGCAGACAGAGCTGCCGTCCTCCCCGCTGCTTGGAAAACTAATCTAGGAGTCCTTCTCGCTGCTTCTACCATTCTAACCACATCCGTCCGGGAAGCCGTTGTGCCTCTGACCTCCAGAATGTGTCCAGAATCCAACCACTGCCTTTCCTCGACATCGCCAACACCTAAGCCAACCACGTCATCTCTTGCTGGGGTGGGGTGGCACTCGCTGCCGGGGTCTCCCCACCTGCCTGGTCACACCTGTCCTTTGCACATGCGACAGCCATCTTATACTTATCTGTCAGCTAACGTTCTCTCTCCTCGCAGGAATGTGTGTTAGGCCCAAGATAGAAGTTCACGTTCGTCACGATGCTTCTGCATCCTCACCACCCCAGGAGCCCGCTTGACATCTGGCGGGCATTCAGGCAATAGTTGTCGAAAAAGTAGCAGCAGAAAGATGGACAGGGAAAACCAAGTCCCAGCACTTGGCTTTCCAAATGCACACAGGCTTCTGAGGAACGAACCTTCAGCCTCATGCACTCCTTTTTTCCTCTACTTTTCCCCCCTTTCCTCTCTTCTTTATGTTTATTGCCCTCCCATCTTTCCTATGACAGCTGCATTTTGGGTTGGTCAGTGGGTGTCAAGACGCAAGGTTAACCTCCCCTGGAAAGACATATCGGGGTCTTGGACACAGAGTGTGTGGGAAGGAGCTTTCACCGCAGAATTCTCTGCATAGGACGGTACACTGAGTCAGAGCCCAGGAGACAGGTGTTGAAGGGGTAAATGGAAAACATCAATGGCCTAACCACACGTTAAAGGCCAGTGAGGATAAGGGAAAATGGGGAGATGCCGGGAATAAGTAAGATAGTGGGGAAAGATTATGTCGGACGTGGGTGAGTCATACTAGAGGCTCTTGCCTTTTGATAAGTCCTTCCAGAATCGTATATTGTGGGTAAGTGAGATGGGCTTTGAGAAGAGCCAGATCTGACAGGCGTTTTGGTGGGTTCGCCGTGACCGCTCTGTGGAGTGAAGCCTGACAGGGAATTAGAGCAGAAGCCAGGACTGCTTAGGGGAGGGTTGTGGTCAGAGAGCCAAGAGCTGGTGATAGCTTCATCCAAGGGGCTAGCCCTGGTGGTGCAGTTGGTACAGAGCGGCCACAGTCTGGAAAGAAGATCTGAGAAGATTTGTTGTGATTTCCACGTCGGGTACAAGAGAAGGATGACACTACGATTGTTGTCTTGGAAAACAGAAAGGCTGGGGTTGCAACTGATTGAGGCTGGGAAGCTTTGAGGAGAAGCGGTTTTGAGGAGCATGGAAGGAGACGTTGGGCTAAATCTGGCCCACAGCTTGGTTTTGTAAATAAAGTTTTATTGGAATCTACCCATGCCTGTTTGTTTGTGTATTAACACAAAAGCTGTTTCTGAGCTTCTACAGCAGATTGGAATATTTACTCTGAATATTTTTCTACTGCTGTGTCGTCAAATTATTTTCCCTTGAAGTGTGTAATCTGCTGTTAATCCCATCTGGTGCATTTTTTCAACACAAATACTGTGTTTTCCATCTCTTGAATTTCTGTTGGAGTCTTTTATTATACCTTTAATTTCTCACCTCGTCATATCCATGCTTTTCTTTATTTTCCTTTAAATTCTCCAACATACAGTTGACATTAACAGTAACTATTTTAACTGTTTTAAGGTCCTTATTTGCTATTTTAACTATTTTAAGGTCCTTGTTTGCTAATTTGATTATCTCGCTCATCTTTGGATCTGTTTCTATTGATTGATTTTCTCTTCTGGCCACGGTTCATATTTTTATGCTTTTTTTTTTCAGGCTTAATGTTTTTTATTGGCTCCTGGACCTTGTGAATTCTACACTGTTGAGACACAGATCCCACTGCACTTTTTTTTTTTTTTTTAATCCGTGTTGGCCTTTTTTTCCAGCATGATGTTAAATGACTTGCAGATCATTTATTCTTTGGAAACTTGTTTTTAAGATTCACGAAGGCGGGTGCAGAGCGTCCTCTGTTGTAGGGCTGATTTGGTCCTATTGTGAAGGACGACTCTACCCAGTACACACAGTGTGATACAGTCCCTCCATGGGGACTGTACCCAGCCTCACGTGAGTCAGGGAAGCAGTCCAGCTTCCGGCGTTTGGTGATGCTTTTCTTGGTCTTGGGAACTGCAGCCCATGCATGCACAGACAGCACGGAGCCAGAGAAGAAAGGGGACCTCTCTGCAGGTGTTTGGAACTCTCCCCAGGCCTCTTTCTTCCAGTCCCGTTACCTTAACTGCTTTCACCTTTCCTCTCTGTCTCTTGGCTCAGCCTGACTCCTGGGTCCTGTGCAGTTTCTTCTTCCCCGAGCTGCCGCTTGCAAACTGCCTTCAGACGCTCAGCTGCGGTAACTGTAGGGCTCCCTTTGTGCTGTCCCTTTCTCTCAATGACCCCGGTCTTGTGCCTACCCACGCTGCTCTTTGTGAGTACAGGTAAGTCGTGTATTTCGTCTGTTTTCTATCGATGGGGGACGGGAAAATCTGGGTGCAGAGAACCCCTCATGGGATCAGCGTCCTGGGAAAGCAGAAAGCAGAGGATTCATTTAAATGGGTGAGACAGATTGTGAACAAGTAACTGAATAAATAATTTTGAAATGGCTGTGAGTGCACAAAACATAGCACGAGTCACGTGTAAAGATAAAGGAGGGAAGCAAAGAGTCAGGAAGGGCTCTTTCTCTGCAGACTAATGAGATAGTCCGTGGAAAGCGCTTGGCTCAGCGGCCCCACAGAACAAGTACTAAATGGGTTTTAGGCATTGCTAGCAAATTATTTTATTTTATTTTATTTTATTTTAATTTATTTATTTGACAGAGTTCACAAGTAGGCAGAGAGGCAGGCAGAGAGAGAGGAAGGAAGGGAAGCAGGCTTCCTGCTGAGCAGAGAGCCCAATGGGGGCTCGATCCCAGGACCCTGAGATCATGACCCGAGCGAAGGCAGAAACTTGAGCCCACTGAGCCACTCAGGTGCCCCTATTTTATTGATAAGCCAAACAGTGTAGAGTTTAGGAGCATGATCTCCTGGGTTTGAGAACCAGGTCCAGCATCTCCTGACTTGACCTCGGGCAGGCTGTCTCTCTGCCTCTCTCCATTTGTAATGTCAGGGACAATGTGCTGCGGGCAGCCCATAAGCTATGCAAAGTGGGAAGAGAGCCTGCCTGTCCCAAGCACCCGCCACACCCTCTAGTCC